TATATATATATATATACCTATAATAATAATTTAACTAGCTATACAATTAGCTTAAGAATAAACTATATAAAAGAGGTGTAGTTGTCTATGAATATATTTTACTAAAGTGCTTAATTTTTAGTTATGGTTGATGATTTTGATTTGATAGTACTTGATTCCAAATACATATCAAAAACAATGTTTAGAAAATTTTAATCAAAATGTACATTGAACACATTATTATTATTTATGAAACACATTTTAAAATTAAATGTACATTAAACATTAACATTTTGAATAATGAAATACCATAATTATCTTAATTAATAATATCTATAGTTTGTTCAAAATACTAGAAGTATATTCATTTTAAATATAGATAGTTTTATTATTGATTCTTTTTTAAAGTTTTGATTTAATGGTAAATTATTTATTCATTGTTATAATTAGTCTACAATAAAAATAAAGATACAATAAAAATAGCTTTTAGTGAATAAAGGCTCAAGGTAAATTTGTATAAAAATAAAACATTTGTTTCAGATCTAATGTTTCTTCAGTACTCATTCACAATAATTTACTGCTAGATGATGTCGAAACAGATTATATAAACAATGTATCACCAGATAATTCTGATCGTGAATCTAATCTCACTCGCTGTAATTCGGAATCATCAATGGATATGTTTGGTCAAAGCCAAAATACAGAACCTGAAGAGGAAGAAAACGAGCAATCTGATATTGAAATGAATTTAAACAGTAATAATGAACAGGTATAAATCAAAATTATCAATGAATTGTATTAATAATTAAATTTAAATGTTTCAAATTAGTTAAAAATGTATTATTTTTTGGTTGTAAATATTAATCACTATTATCATACTTACTACTTTTATAAATATTATTAACTTGTATAAATCATAAAATCAGTTCTGGAAATATATGTATAATTTAATATATATTATATTTAATATTTTCTGTATGTAATGTATTCAAGTCTGATTTCATTGATATAACATATTAACCCATGATATTATCATTCAAATTATAAATAATTAGATTATTTATAAGGGCTCATTAGCTCAAAGTATAATAAATACCACAATAATTTAAAGTATTTTAGTATATCATAGAATCCATTAAATGATTTGACTAACAACTAGTTAAGAGACTCAAATTAGTTTAGTTAAGTTAAGTTAAGCTAAGTTAAGGATAATTGTTTACGCCAAATTCAACATTTTGTTTTATTTTATATTTACATATCTGTACATTCCATATTATCTGATCATTATTATATTATTCTTATCTCATTATAAATTCACGTTTATATTTATGCAGATTATTATTAATACATTAATACCATTGTTAATCAACGATTGTGTTATCGCTTCTGTTATATAGAACACTGGATCATTATATTTAGATTTATACATATATTATAATTTTTATACAATTATAATTAATTATGTCTCAATACCGCGATTCAGTGGATATAAAAGCCCCAGTGACTCAACAAAAGTTGTAATTTACCTTCTTTCCAACATCAGAGTAAGACCTATCCGAGGCGACTTACACGACTAGGCAAGGAGGTTCTCCTCTCCTCCTCCCCCCCCCCACCGGTCCATATTTGTTCGAGTGGTTTTGCGAACTGAGCAATGTTGCAATAGTCAGAGTAATTCTGGCATAGCATCGTTTGTTTACGTAATCCACCCCATGGGGCAATAGTCAAAGTTATTCTGGCATTGCACCGGGTGGTCCAGACCGCTCGACCGTTTGGTTTTTTCCATCCATTTATCAACTGCGGAACATACCTGTTGTAATTATTATCTATTTTTATATTATTACAATCACTATAATCTGATTTTATAAATATCTTTGTTATTTTAATATTTTCTTTATTTTTTTTATGATTTTAATTACTTAATGTCATTCCGATAGTTTCGTCCAAACTGTTTTTAATATATATTATTTTAACCAAAAATATATCTAACTTTAAGTTAATACATGCAAATAGGTACTGCCAGTAAATTGGATTATGAATATAATAAAATTAAATATAACATAAAAAATAAATAAAAATTAACTGTATATATTTTCATTTAGTCTTACATAGTCAGCCCTGACATGATACAATTTGATGAAGCATTAATCTGTCAATACTAATAGTTGTTAAATTGTTTAATATAATTATTTTTAACTTAACATTTTATACTTTTGGTAAATAAACAATGCTTGTTATAACTGTTTGCAGATAACTGAAAGCATAAATGAACAGAGTGATAACATTGACTTCAGTAGTAGTTGTAGCTCTGATACTGATGATTTTATAGTTGGAACTCCAGAAAGAACTTTGTGAGTACTTTTTTAAATACATTTTTAGGATACATTATTACCATCTATGTATTAGGGTTGGAAAAAAAAACATCAATGTTTTAGGTCGATATATCGATGTTTTAACATCAATGATTTGTTTTCAATTAATTGATTAACATGTTCAAGGCCACACGTCTAAACTAAAGTTGACATAGGATTCTCTTTAGAAAAATCAATGTCAAGTATAGTTGACATGGTGTCCATTCATTTGTATACATAATTATTTGACTCTGATTTATTCTAATAAATATTATAATAACATGGTTTTTTAAACAGTTTTCTGTTTATCAATTGGTGTACTTGGTTTTAAAATCCAACAGCTGGATAGCGATATTAGTAGTGTTTATTGTAGGCATATATTGATACTGTATGATTCTTGCATATATTTACAATTTGTAATTGGATAGAGTAAATTCAAACCCTCCATAGTTTTGACTATAATAATAATGTCAGGTATAGACCGAGCAGACCAGATGATAAGATACTACCAGACTCCAAAGAAATAGTTACGTTGGTTTATTTAAGTTTTTTTTACACTATAGACATATGCTTATAGAATGCTAATTGTTTGTACAAGTACAAAAAAGTATGCCACATTTAGATTTTAGAAGAAATGTTACTTTAGTTGGTGTTATGTGTATTTACTTGGTATATAATTCCATATATTGTGTTTAATCCATAGATTGTTTATATTTCTAAAGATAATACATAATTCCATAGATATTATATAATCCATAGATTGTATATAATACCATAGATATAATATAATCCATAGATTGTATATAACACCATAGATATAATATAATCCATAGATTGTAGATAATTTCAAAGATAATTCTATAGATTGTATAAAACACCATAATAATATAATTCCATAGATTATATATAATTTCAAAGATATTATATAATTCTATAGATAATATTTAATCCATGGATTGTATATATTTCCAAATATATTATATAATCCATATATAATTCCAAAGATATATATAACTCCATAGATATAATCCATAGATTGTATTATATTCTATAGCATATATAATATCAATGGAATTATGTATTATCTTTGAAATTATATACAATCTATGGAATTATGTGTTATCTTTGAAATTATATTATATCTATGGTATTATATACAATGAAAATAAAATTAATCTAACCTAACCTAACCTAACCTAACCTAATTTTATAAATTTTATGTTGTGGTTTTTTATACGACTTTTCAAATTATGGGGTGGTCGTGAACGTGTTAAACATTGATGTTTATATTTGAAATTCAATTTTTTTTTTATTTGTATTATTTTAATATGCAGTATACAACGATCATTATACAGTATACAGTTATAATCAGGGCTCGTAAGTTCATGCACTAAAAATGTATAAATAAGCATGCAATAATGCTCTAACATTTGATCAAATATGCATTGAAAATGCTTAACTATGCACGAAAAAAATGTATAAGCATTTTTTTAAATAATAAGAATTATCCATTCATATTTTTAAAAGATATTTTTTTTTTCACTCCCACGCAAGCAGTCCGACAGTGCGCACGTGTTTCGATGCTTCTCTCGGATTATGCTTCATATTACCTCTGTTTCGTATCAGGAATAATTGCACTTTTGCTCAATACGACTCTTCTCCTTCAACGTCTTACCTGGGTAAATCTACACGTCACGGAAAGAGCTACCTCTCCAAAACACAGTTATATAATTTTTATGTGCTAGTCCTACTTAGTTGCTAAGTATCATAATTCATAACACACTTTTGTTACGTAACAACCACATGATTATATAACTACGCAAGTCCACGGTCACCGTATCGCGCGGCGATCTTTGGACCCTAGATAACTATAAGATAATAATAATCCCAGATAATAATGAGTTCAAAGCAATCATACACCCTCTTATAGCACTCCTCACCTCTGTCCTCTCAAATCTCACAAATATCAATAATGCCAATTAATTTTACATCAAAATCTCTCCTCATTCTAACTTGGAACCCGAACGGACTTGCAAATCATAAAAACGAAATCCTAGCCATACTCCAAACTTATAGGATTGATATTGCTCTCATTTCTGAAACACATTTTACTAACTCTTCAATCTTTAATTTACCTGGATATAAAACTTTCAAAACTAACCATCCGGATGGCACAGCTCAAGCTGGAGCTGCTATTATAGTGAGATCATCACTCTTTTTTTCTACCCTCTCCCCAATATCCAATCACCTCACATACAAGCCTGTGGCATTTCTTTAGCACTAAATGGTGCATCTATTAATATCTACGTAGTTTACAGCTCTCCTCGCCATACCATAACCCATAATCAATTCAACGACTTCTTCACTACTCTTGGCCAAAAATTTTCTATAGGGTGTGATATATTTATATATATATATATATATATATATGTTGAGGCTCTCATACTTTCCAGTCCTATGGAAGTTTTCTGTAATCATCATGATTCTCAAGCCAAAGAAACCGCCCGACTCTCCAAAATCATATAGACTAATTAGCTTACTCTTGTTATTCTCAAAAGTCTTAGAAAAAATTATTCTAAGCGTTTCCTACCAGTTATTGAATCTAACCTATCCAACTACCAATTTGGATTTCGACATAATCACTCAAACATTCACCAGATACATCGCTTAATTGACAACATCTACGCTTTGGAAAAAAAACTTATATGCACGGGTGTATTCCTTGACATGGCGTAAGTCTTTGACACAGTCTAGCATAAAGGACTCCTCCTTAAGCTTAAAACTATTTTACCCCTTACTAATATCTACTTTTAAATCTTACCTCCAAGACAGACACTCTGTCCATACAGGATCTGCCATTTCCAAAATATATTTAAATTTACATAAAATAATATGCGCTAATAACTCAAAAAAAAATAAACTATATGTCAAATATGCCAATACACACAAAACATGTAAAAACATACTCTTTTAAACTTAAGATTTTTATTACCATTGTTATGAAACGGATTTTTATCTCAATTAACGTATTTTCCAATGTAGCAAAGAAAACGTAAATGCATGAACTTACGAGCCCTGATTATAAATATTTAATATGTATTTAAAAATATAAGTTAAACAATAGTATTTTAACTCTTTAATTTATTATTTAATCAAGAAAATAGTATACTGTACATATAATAAGGTGTGCAACAGATGGCAGGTCTAGAGGCAAAAACATTTTTTTCTATGTTTTTAACTTTGATGTACTTAAGCATCTATGGTTTTTCACCGATACATTGAACACATCGATATTTTTAAAATTGATGTATCGATACATCGAAAATCAATGTTCAAACAATTTTATTTATCTCTACTATGTATTATATATTTTAGATTTTGAGTTAATCTTTAAATGATTTGGTTTTACAATGTTTTTCTTTTTGTGAATTCTAACTTGTGCAATCAAAAATTTTTTTTTTCTTTCATGTACCTATTTGAATTTGATATTTTAACCAAAATTTGCATTTTTGTAGTTATAAATGCCTAACATTTTAAATTTAAATATTTAAGGTTCAGAAATGTATGCAAGATTCTACAGTTTTAGTTAACAGAAAAAAGTTTTCCCAAAATTAACAAAATCAAATTCCAAAGTTGAATTTACTTATTTATATTTATTTTTTTGTGTTTAACCAAATTGATTATAAAATGTATAGGTTCTAATATATTAAGATCTTTAGATCCTGATCCACCTGACCTTCTTCACTCAGAATTGTTTTCGACAACCATGTTACATTGATTTTGAATGCCCTAAGAACAACTAACCTATTGGTCACCTGGTCCCTATATTTTACCCTACTCTTGTATCTTACAATTCCTTTTTTAATTTTTTCTTATTTTAGACTTTCTTCTATAAAAGTATCAATTACTGGAGTGCAAACCGATGCAGAAATAAATATTATAAAACAAATGGTTTATATGTTTAACTTACAAGCACAAACTAAGTGGACTTCAGACATTACTCACTTAGTTGCAGTTGTTCATCCTGATAATCGTTGTGATCCTACTAAAAAGTTTTTGAATGCAATTTTAAACCATTGTTACATTGTAAAATTTCAATGGGTTTTAGACTGTGTTGATAAAAAATCTTTATTACCTGAGGTATGTAATATTCAATTTTTGTAAATAATTTTAATATACTCAAATTCATCTTAGGAACAATATTTTCCACTTAATACATATGGTGAAGAATCTCCTTTGATTTCTGTAAAAGTGGGTCAAGGTCATATTGAATCACCATTGGAATGGTGTAAGAATTGTGGACTGCATTTTCATGATTCATTAAGGCTTTGTAATTCACTTAAACTCATGATTGTGAGAATTCAAATATCATTTATTTATTAAAATAAAAATAAATTTGATAATGTTTTGCTTCAATTCTTATTTTAAGGATCTGGCTAAAAAAGCTGGTTTTGTGGTGTATAATAAACTAGAAGATTTTAAGGATAGTCAGTTAAAGATGAGAATTATATTGTGTTACAACCATTCTGAAGATGAAAAAAATGAACAAAAACTACTACCTGATGATAAATTAATTAAGGGTAAGAAATTAATATTTTATTGTGTATTGAAATTATAAAAGAAGTGTAATGCTAGTCATAATTTGAGTAGGAAAGTACATTTGATCTTATCTTATTTGTTACTTTTTTCGTTTTTAAATATAGTGAAAAAACTGTACAAGCTTTTCCAAACTAGTTAAAGTGAAATAGTTTGTTTATAGATATAAAAATACAAATTAAAGTTATTATCATTATGAAGGTAGTGTAAACTTGTTTTACACACATTGTGATGTAAAACTGAGGGCCCGAAGACCTTGTACCAGGGGGGCTTACGTACATTTGAAACCCTCATAATCAAAAATTTATAACTTTTTGTAGAAGAAATATAACAGGAAAATAGTAATAATGATTTAATATTGATTTAATTTCTAATAAGTAAAATACATTTCAGTTTAAGATAAAGGTGTTTGTTTATATACCTCTTTTCAAAAGAGAACATATCGCTTGCGCGGCTGGTTTTGGTTCGGTGGCACGCATCCCCCACTAGTTGTTCAAAGCTCCTACCTAAGCAACGCCGGTCACGATGAGCGCGCTCCCGCTATACACCCGGTGCATTCCTATATAACTGTACTCGCTACACCGCCGCGCCTATTAGATATCTATTAATTGTGAATAAGTTATTGGAATTAGGTTTATACTCTTCGGCAAACTTTGATCGGCGACTATTCAATTTAGGTCTCGAAAAGGCGATTCAAGAAATAAATTATAGTCATCAAGTTGAGGTGGTAAATAAAGAAATAATATTGGCGTACGCAGATGATATTGTCATTTTAGGAAACACAAGACAAGATATCACCCAGACAATGTCTAACCTTGTGACGGCCAGTAAAAGAATGGGACTTTATATTAACGAAGAAAAAACAAAATTTATGGTACTTTCCAGAAGAGAAGATCAGCCTAATCTACTAATAGATAATTTCACATTTGAAAGTGTAGAAAGTTTTAAGTATCTAGGTGTGAATATAAACAATAAACATGACATGCATCAGGAAATACTTGAACGGTTAGCAAGTGGAAACTGATGCTACCATAGCATCCAAAAGTTATTGAAATCTAAATTGTTGTTGAGAAGGTCGAAAACACTGTTCTATATCAGTTATCTGAGACCAATAGTTACGTGTGAGACTTGGTCTACGACGAAAGGTGATAACAAAAAAACTGGCAATATTTGAAAGAAAGGTTCTGAGAAAAATGTTTGGCCCGGTGTACAATCTTGATCTAGGAACATTCGAAAGGCGGAAAAACGAACATTTGTACCAATTGTATGGAAAACCAACAATATTAACGTTTATAAGAACTAAGAGAATGAAGTGGTTTGGACATATTTGGAGAGCTGAAGATGATATACTAAAAAAGATCATAACCGCGACGATACAGAAAAAACGACCACTGGGTAGAACGCGAACGAGATGGAAGGATGCTGTGAAGAGAGACATTCAATTGGTGGATGCGAATGCGTCTGTTGAATTAGCACTCAACTAAGAAAGGTGGAGAGATTTACTTGTGTCAGCTCAGGCCCTTCAAAGACCGTTAAGCCGAAGAAAGAAGAAGGAGGAAATTTAAAAGATACTCTTATTTATACTTCCTCTATAAGCAAAATAATTTGCTATTTGTTAAACTAGTGGATTCAGATTTTTGGTATTTATGTTGAGGTATTTTAATAATTGTACATTGTATCATAAAAATCATGTTATGATATTACCTGATTACTGATTAGAAAAAATTAAACCGTTATATATATATATATATATATTATCAAGAAATATTTAATACTATACTATCATAATTTGAGTTGTGGTTAAAATTAATATAATGAAAATTGAAAACTACCACAAACCTTTATGGCAGTCTTTTATATTTAATTAAATATCAACATTTAAGAAGATTTGATCACAGATAAACATATTTTTAGTGAAATATAAAATAGTGTTTACAACAATTATGATATTTTTTTTGTATATATTATTTAGTATTATACACTAAAACATATTCTATGACAAGGTATATTAAAAGACTGTCCTAATATGTATAAAACTAATACAGAAAATTAATTATTTGTAATTTAAAATGTTATATATACATGCATGTAGTTATAACATTGATTATATTGTAATAAGTATTACCTCATGTTAAATCCAAATTTTTAAATATTCAAAAAACTTAAAATTATTGTAACATTATGTTTAACAAAATTATTTTTAACTTTTTTTTTTTTGTAGGTTGGATACATGATTATAAAGCTGTGACTTTAAGTTATGATTGGTTTGTGGATTGTATAATAAGTTATAAATTTGTTCCAATTAAAACTCAATACCAAATTTTGCCAATTGACCGCAATACTGTTATCTTAGAAGAAATGGATGAATCTCTTTTTGTATTTTCTAATGAGTAGTAAATTATCATTTAATTATTGACTTCTATGTACATATTTAAACAGTTAAGTTAGTTACTGTAATATTTGTTCAATATGTAATATATTTTGATTTAATTTTCTATGGATGTTTATAAAGAAAAATTGTTTATTTTTTACGATTTACTTTTTAAACTATAATAATAAAATATGAATAATTTTATGATACATACATTTTATTTTAAATATCATTGATTATGTCAGACAAGTTCAAAAACTGAGTAGGTAATTTAAAATTTTAATTGAAATATATTAAACATTGGTCAGTATAACAATATATAAGTCTTCATGTTATGACATTTCAGACTTTTAAGTCTGAAGATTGCATGGCTATCCTGTTAAAGAAGAGTTGCCAATTCGTGACTGAGGCATTGGTCAGAGCACGCAGGATTTTTAAATATTTTCTTTTTTTTTATATGATAGTTACAAAATAAGGGCAAAGAAAAAAAATATATATTATATATATTTAGAATTAAAATTTAATATTAATTAAAACTTTGTTGTCAAGAGAGCCATACGGCATAATACATACTCTGTCAAATAAAATTATAAAAAGAGAGTAATAATGATAGTAAAATTGTTGCGTGCTGGTACATGGGACCGGACAGTGCAACAAGAGATGAGGACACTCAACCATAACATTCGCAGAGTTTCAAGTCGGGGGTAGCGAATATTTTTACTGGGCCATACATGAGTATTAAGTTAACATTTTTAAGCTCAAATTTAAGCTTCAAATTATATTTAAACTTTAAACACAGAAAAGATTAGCTTGGTAGCAATACACTTTTTGGATAACCAACTTATTTTGTATTGAGCATTACCGGTGTGGCGGCCCAGCTTGGATCAGTTCGGCCCTTACAAATATATTTAAATCATCCAGGGGAAGTAAGAGCTCACCTTGTTGTCCCTGTGCGCAGGCCTATGCACCCAACTGTACAGCTTCGTGATCAATGTAGAATAATGATAGTATTTAAATAAATAACTCAAGAGTTTTAAAATATTAACTTTATTGAAATATTTCTAAGTCCAAATAATTAATTTATAAAATAAACTGACGTGAAGGTGCATGCATTAACAATACTAAAACACATCTGCATTAGGGCCTGTTTGGGACCATCTTATATACCCCAATCTCATGGGAATCTTTAATCGTTTGGTCATTTTACTCGTGTGCACCACCGGATGTGGTTATTGATATGTGAATTCCATATATGGAGTTTTCTCTGTTAGATAAAGATGTGGCCTATATTTAATAATTAATGCGTGTAACTTCTGATTATTTGTCACATATATATTCTAATATACTTATTTGTATGATTATTTTACACGTAATTTACACCTATTATTAACTGGTCCATTCGGTTAGTCATTTTAATATATTTACTATTGTCCACTCCTTTGTTTCCCATTCCTTGTTACTCATGTGTATTCAAGTATTGTAAATAAATGCATTGACTGTACACCCCTATATTGTGGTTAAGAGTGCATCATAATTATTATATTCCTAACCAGTGGCGCACAGATTTTTGACAAGGGTGTCGAAAATATATATTTCGAGGTACCCACCCACCCCCACCAGTAAAATCTGAGTTTAGGCATAGTATAACTCTTATTATTAAGTGTTTTTGGTTTTTTTTTTTACTAATAAAGATACTAAAAATGAAATATAAAATAAACCTAATATTAATTATTTTTCAATTTTCTGGGTATTAATTTATAAGTTTATAGAGCATCATTTTTGGGATTGAGCCCTACTACTTATTCTGGTGTAATGCTTTAATTCTAGGGTAAACATAATTAGTATGTTGATTTGGATAGCTGAAAAATTGGTTATTATTAAATAAAATAAATATTCAATATAAGTTCATACAGAACTAGTCATCCGCCAATTCTCTGAGGGGTGTCAGCGACACCCCTGACTCCCCTGTGTGCGCCACTGTTCCTAACTGTGTACCACAATGTGTAATCACTATGAATGCCCGCCATAGTGGAATCATTCATTATTGTAATGCAATCGATATAGTATATATATATATATATATATATATATATATAACATTATGTGATAGAATGTATGCCCGTGCCATTATATGTATGCATATAGCAGAATTAAGATGAAGGAGTAATGACTCACGATATTAAAAACGAAGGCAAAACTTCATTTGAGGGACACTGGTATGGTTCTCAAACCGGACGGACCATTAACGATGTATATGTATATTAATAAATGAACCGAAATAGTTTTGCTCTATTCGACCACAAACAAATCTTTTTAGTACCGGCCGGGGAGTATTGAAATAAACAATACATTACCGCATGTATGATTGTCCAGTACACGCTCTCCACCGTGTAGAGGCGTATTTTAAGGAGGGGGCAATTGCCCCTCCTCCTGAATCCGTATTTAAGGAATCGATTATATATGAGAAGCACATTTCAAATTTTTTCTAATGTATATCGTTTTATAACGAAATCATAAAATTGTGACTAAATATGAAAAAAATAAATGTATATTTCTAATATATTTATGGTAAAATAGAAAAATGGCTGTGAACATAGCGGTCCTCTCGGACACCAGCCCACCGGGAAGTTTCTCGATATCCCAATGGACCAATTTGGTCTTGATTGTAAATATTGTGATGATAAAATAGTATGTGAAAAACGATTTAATGTTAAGTATTATTCAAATGATTTATATGTTTTTAAAATAAATTACTTTACAAAACAAAAGAGCATATTTTTAGTTTATTTTTTAGTGTTTTTAAGTGTATAAGTATATAAGAACATTTTTAAAGCTACAAATCCTCTGCTTCATTTAAAAATAAAGACATTGGCTATAGTTAGAGTATATCCTATAGGTACCGTATGAAATCATTGATATCAGTTCAATCAATATGAACCGATAAATAGTTATAATCATCATCATCATTATTATAATTGATCACGCATTTATAGTAATAGTGTAACCATGTTAAAACTAGAAACTTAAGCAATAGTAAAATCTATTGTGTTTGGTCGAGTCCACGTATTAACTAATAAAAAAAATATGAAAAAATAACCCAAGCACTTAGCGTAAAATAAAAAAAACAAAAATCCTTGGTTCGTTATTGTATATAATTATGTAATAGTGCAATAATAATTGTAAGACCGTTAAAATTACAGTAGGACAAAAAATGCGTAGAAAACGGAAACGGGTAAGTAACATTTTTTTTTTTTTTTTTTTTACATAAATAATGGTACAGCACAATATTTTAATAGAAATCACAAAGAAGACGTCGAGTGTTTTCCAATTCAGCGAAAAAGTGTTGTCTGATGTTCGAACAGAACAAAAGGAAAAAGTAAAAGTAATTTCTATGCACAACGTAAAACAAATAATATAATTATCTATATACGAAAACAAGAACAGTTGTCACGTTATATTTAAGTTAAAAACTTACAAATAATTATTAAATTTTTTCTAAACAAACATGTACCGACGGCAATCGTTCCACGTTGACCGGACGTTATCGATTTGTGTGCACCGGCCAGTACGAGCATAATGGCATCACGAAACGCAACAGGTGGACGGGTACTTCCATCTCTGGCCGATGAGCGGAGCGGAGCATGCGTCCGAGTCTTTTGCGAACGGACGGCGGATTTGTGCACAGGTGCTCGTGGAAGCGGCGACGATCGTCCGTGTATGGAGTGTGTGGTCGTGCACGGTCGCGGACGGTGAAAAACATTCGATGGTCCGGTAACTGTTAGCGGCGCGCGATCTTGTACGCAGGTACATGCGATGCAGCACGGTGACGAAGGGCGTGCAGGGTCAGTCCAAGTCCTTTCCGTCGCCGTTCGGCAGGGCCAAAGACAGGAGACCGCTGACTGCGTTCATGCAAAACAGTAACGAGAGAACAAACGGTTTTAACGATGAACGTGTACTGCAACCAGTGGCGCCCATACAGGTTACCAAGGGGTGCATTGCATGTGCTCTCGTCGGGGTTGGGTGTATGGGTGGGTTGGTGGGTATATAATTGGACAACTTGGATATCAAACATTATACCTTTACGGAACTGTGTGTAGACATCTTAATTTTAATTAATTATAATAAATCTTAATTTATTAAATGTATAGTTATTTTAAGAGTTAATTTACAGTTACAGGCAAAAATTTAAACGAACGTTTTTTTTAAAAAAAAAAAAAATTGGTGGTTGGGTGGGTAACTTTTTTTAGTTGCATGTGCTTTCAAAATACTTCTGTGCGCCACTGACTGCAACTGTTCAGAAATCGTGTGGTGGTGGTGGTACAATTTTTTAACCAGCCGGGATCGACCTCACGCAAGCACGGTGCATCAGGTTCGATCGCGGTTGTTACCGACCAGTGTTCGGTTCGACACCGTACGTACGCAATCGGTTGTCTACTAACAACGTTTCTTATCCTTTTCCCGTAAACGTACTCCATTGCTTTACGTGCCCCCAAACTGTCGATTTGTCTGTTTTCAAATAGGATTGATCAGGAATTTTATATATATATATATATATATATTAACTATGAAATCAACTACGTGTCGAATACAAAATATAAAATGTACGGGGGGGGGGGGGGTAATTGATTTATGGGTACACCCGATTCAACTGCAAGGAACGTCTCACTCGTGATAACCAAATGATATCTATTTGTTGGCAGATTTTACTAGATTGACTGGTGGCGGGGATGATCGTTTTCTGGGAGAACGATATCGCTCCTCCTTAGCCCCGTGCTTGGGCCATCGGGTTACTACGGACTACGGTAAGAATAGGTATCTCGAGGGCGGGACACGTGTAGTGTTGTGGTACTATTTGCGAGATCTAATTACACGGTATGTCCACACTTACCTATCAACAACGAGCTGAATATGATGATGAGCAGAATGCAGTGTGAGTCTATGAGCAGCCCGAATATGATGTTGGCGATCAACGATCCGAGACGACCGAACGTCGCTGAAGCCGCGGCTGCCATTACTCTGTCGAAAATACACAATTGTAATTTCATTGGATAATTCGTGGTTATTGTACGGATGAGACGCGCGCCAACATGTGCAGACGGTCAGTGAAATAAGTGTCGGCTCGCAATTTGGGTATATCTATACATAGTGGCGTATATAGGGAGGGAAGCTAGGGCCCGAACCCATGGTGAAATTTCAGATTTAATTAAAACAAATTCTATGCGTATTAGTCTATGTACATGTATACCAGTAGTTCTAAACGGGAGCGATGAAGGGTTACCGAGGGGCGGTGAACTATTTATACATTGTATACTATTATACATAGAGGTGGCTTTGTTTTTCACTGTTAAATCTCAACTTATCCTGGAGTGAATGATATGTTTCTTATGTTTTTTTTTAAAAAAATTAATTTAATTTATAGCAAATTTAATCCTGCGTTCTTTTTGAGACACCCTATATTTTTTACTTAACGTCTTTTATAAACGTTGAAAATTCTCAACAGTAAGACCTAAATAGAAATATTTTATGTTTGATTCGTTCGCCTCGACTGAACTTACGTTAGAACTTCGATGGTGAATAATAGTGGCGTTTTTATTAATTATTTTATGCCGACAACCCGCGTGGTTATAAGTTCGGTGGAGATTCGTGCTAGATCATTATTCTGAGGCGGTCGCAAATTATCGTGTGCGGACACTGCCGTGTCGGACGAGCCGAAAATTCGTTTGGGAAACATCGTAAAGTTTATCGTGTACCGTTGCCGTGAGGTGAAATATTACACGCAGTTTATTTCATGTTTGGTCAAATTATAGGTAGGTATACATTTTTTTTCTTTCCGCACAAATCCGTTAACCGGTAACCGATTTGATCGAATGTCTAGGTACCGCGGGATACGACGAAATCGCTACGCGCGCGCGCGCTTGGACGAGTTGCGTCGCAGACGACTAACCTCATGTTGGTGGGAAATAGATCGACCATGATGCACAGCAACACGCTGATTCCCAGGCTGCTGAACGCTTCGAACACGCACGACAGTACGAGGTTCTGCAGAGAGTTTTTCACGAAGTACAGCGCCGCGGACGCGACGCCTGACACGAACAGGCACATCACTGTCAACACAAGCACACAGGGTTAGTTATCATGGTATTATACATAAGTGCGCGAGTGGAGAAGGAATTGTGGAGGGCGGTTATATTTGTTTTGTGCGAGGGTTGGGCGAGTTCTTTTCCGGATTGTCAGCTACGGCTCGTCGCCCTTGTGTTGGAAGAAAATTGTTTTCGATGGAAAAACTATTTTTCCAATTATTTAAAACTTTTTTTTTTTCGTTAAAATTCTGAGTGATACCGTTGAACGTAGTCGTAGCACATCGAAAATGAATGCGGATCTGTCGGCTGGAAACTAGACGAGCCGCATGCACGGATTGGATCCATGTGCTCGCACATAGTTGAAATTACTACTAAATGTGGAGATTCGAAATAGTGCGAAAATTCGATTACAATCTGTCGTCGAGTAGTCAGTCGACTAATATCGTTCGACGATTAACGGTCGGATAATCAAATTTCGTAAACGAAAGCCCGAAAACCGTTTCATCGCAGACTAAATTAATCCCTCTCGACGATTTGAATATGACTATGTAGATCACGTATGCAATATAACGTTGTTAAGCAGATTAGTCGCACATTAGTCAGGTCAGTAGTATTATGGACGACTTATCGTACCACCCGTTGGCAGTAATCGCTTGCAATTTTCGATTATACGGAACACGGTAACTGAGTGGAAATTCGAAATTGGACGATGAAAACTAAATCGATTATGTATATAAATATATATTAATAAGTAGCTTCACCAGGTACATGGGTTGACGTTTTTTGCACAGGAATCAGGGCGATTTTTAATTTTTTCTAATGGCGGGGTTTCTTTTTTCATGCTCATGATGTAGTGGTTGATACAACTTTAGGAATAAAATCGAAACATTTCAAGCACAGATGAAATAAAAAAATTTAATTTCACTAAGCCAACAATTATTAATAATAAGATTGAAAGTAGTAGATGTTAAGGAAAAGATAAAAAAAAAAAAAATAAATAAAAGTGATCAAAACTAAGAAATGTATTATTATGTAGGTAAGTGAAAAAGTAAGTGTGAAAGTCCGAATTACTCTGAAACGTTAGAATAATATTATTATATGAGTTGTACGATATTTAGAGTTAACAATCAATTTTACTTATGTATAGCATATTCTTCATTAACATTTTCGTTTTGTCCGCGGTGACATTTTTTGACTGATTTATAACCAAGAATTTAATAAAATAATAAAAATAAAAAATCATTAAATATTAAATACCCATAAAATAATAAACGATTAATACTCATAAATTAATATATAAATAAATAAATAATTGCTTAGCTTAAAGTATTATTATATTTGTAATGTACGACCGGTTTCGAATTAAAAATTCGTTAGATTAGGTTAGGCAAAGTCAATAAAATGTCAACTAATAAATAATTAATTAATTATTATATATAAGCTATTTATTAAAATTTAATAATACCAATTTTTATTTTATTTTTTATTTTATTATTTAATTAATGTTATTTTTCAACTTATAAGATACCTATGCATTCTTAATATTTTAATTACACATTAATACGCTATTGATATTTTGTATTCATAAATGTGTTCATATTTTAAAGCTTTTTTTACTTTTTCTTAATTCGAGGGTAAAGCATGATGTGACAAATTCCAAAATAATTTCTGATTGTAGTATGATTCAGTATTTCACGAAAGCAGTATTATTTTTCTCGGGTAAAATTAAAACAATTATACAATTAAAATTATTACAAAACTACACATTTTAATGAGCAGATAAAATACGTAATCACGGATGGCGATCGATAAGATAGTAAAAGTGATAACGTGAAGGTGTCACTTATTTTTTTTTTATGTATTTTAGCATAGAACGAACATAAAACGGTTTGAACAAATGAACCAAATATCCTCTTGTACATCTGAACTATCAAACGAGGCATAATGTAATTTATTATCATGGTCATACACAATTGTATGTTTACGCTGCTTACGGTATTGCACACTGGTTCCATGATTTAGCTAACCATAGGACGGCATTTGATCGTTACTAACAGTGAGGGGCGGAACTAGGGGGTGGAAGACGGGGATTCATCCCCGGACGTAATTTTGTAATTACTTACAACTAATTTTATATTTTTAACTTTGTTAAATACTGTTATTAGGTTAACTTACAAAACTCAATAAGTATGATTGTATATTAATTATTGGGAAAAAATTCTCGAGAAGAGTATTTGATTATTGGTCTATGATAGGGCCAAGGCCATCCCGAAGATGAAAATCAAGGGGAGGTGAATAATATAAAAGGTTAATATAACCTAACCTATATGAAAAATGCTGACTACAATTTTTTTACTTAATGTATGTAGTATAATAAACTATATGTAGTCGTATTTTAACTTTTTAACATATATATATGTGTCAGTATCGCACGTTCTTAAAATTGAAAATTTAATTATATATATATATATATATATAATATTTTATATTGTATAATTAGTAGTTATATACATTTTATTCGTGTATACACTGTATTACAAAATATGTAATATTTGTTTTCCGTAAATAAAATTAGGTCCTTCTAGGCTATAATAAAACAAGTCCGAATGCCGACTGGTGTTTTCGTTGTGTGTATGTGTGTGTGTGTGTGTGTGTGTGTGTGTGTGTGTGTGTGTGTGTATGGCGGGGGGTTGAGACACCTCCCCTAAGATCCTCCTTCGGGACGGCCCTGGATAGGGCGTAATTTTAACATTTTCCCCGGGCGTAAAATTTCTTAGTTCCACCTCTGCCAACAGTGTACACCGACACTGTGACGGAATCATGATCATGACTTTTCCATACGATTTCCTCGTACTCGCAGCTAAGTTATGCGAACTGTCGGCCGACGTCTACGTTACCTAAGAAGAACTTGGCGCCGACCCGATGCACGCATAGAGGCATCAGCAACGACATGGGTATGCACGCCACACCGATCCACAGGGTGTGAGTGTACACGGTCCCTCCGACTGCCGACCCGCATAGGTCGGCCGTGTTCAACGCGCCGTCCTGTTCGATGTACACGGACGACACTTGGCACACGGACGCGTCCATGCCGGGCTGATGGGTTTCGAACGTCTCGAATCTGTTGAACAGCTCCGGGAACCACATCATCAGCGTGTAGTAACTGCGGAGAAAACGGTAGTCAACAACAAAGCGTATTTATATAGGCACGTGTCACGCTAACGGGGTGCGTATCGATGGTTAGAGCTATTAAGGGCATTCCGGGACGACGTAAAGGGAGTGAAATCCTTGAGTGCCATTGTCTTATGTAGGAACGGCTAAATGTTGGTACGCTCCTACTGGTAATAGTTGATTGTTGTAGTAAAACTGACATAAAATACCATAGACCTTATACTTAGTATAAGGTCTATGTAAAATACTAATCGGTTGTTGTATACGAACGTTCGTAAATTACCAAACTTTTTGTTTTATCGTACTAGGGCATTTCCCGAATCCTCGGGTTTTCCAACTGTATAGATGATCGCGTACTATCGTCGTCCCAAGCATAATATTGTTGTATCATTGAATGTTAAGCTCAAGCAGATTTAGAGGGGAATCGGCCGATCGACGAACAAACGGAATCGGCTGAAAACCACAGGTTTTTATTATTTTATCCATACATCATGTGTTTAACCAACTGTGTCTTGTTTTATTTGTTTGTCAGAGGTGCGTTTTCATTTTTAGACAGGTCGGAAAAGGTTTGAGAACTATTGGTACAGGTACTCGGAGCAACCGATCACAGCCGTCGCGCGGTTATACCTGGATGTCAGTCCGAACTGTATGAGACACGTGAGAACTGTGTTTTTCAAATGCGGTGGCTTGAACATCTCCTTGGTCTGGTACCATACTTCTTTCAGCAAGTTCTTGAGGTCCTTGGACGTCTTGACCGTTTTCACGCTGCGCAACGACCGTTTTGATTGTATGCTGATCACGCTGCACCGGACTTCGTTCTCGATGAGACTTCTGACCTGCGATGAACGAAAACAGCAAAGAAAAAAAAACCACCGTAAATTTATAACGAATTATGCGTTGTCAGTGGCGTAGTGTGAAGGCTTATTTAAAGGGAAATTGCTTCTGAGATTTTTATATGATGGGTGGGTTTATTAATAACAACTATCTTAATTAAATTCAACTTTTTTATTCTATAAAAAACTCGTATTACGCATGACTATCGTTTACGGAACAGACTATTCTGTTATACAATACGGTACAGCAGATTATAGTCAATTTTCCATTCTAAAAATATTCAAAAACTATAGATACAGCGGTAGTTTTTTAACGGTAAACGGGTGGTGGGTGATTGTCACTTGTCAGGAAAAATATCAATGGTCTCTCTGCAATTTTAAGTTCACCACACTACTGATCGTTGTCACGCGTCATCTTGACGGTCTACGTACTGGATAAGCGTCTCCGGGTTCTCCCGTGTTCTCCGTGTAGATCCGTTTCAAACAATCGAGCGCCTCGTCGAACTCGCCACACTCCAACAGGAATTTCGGACTTTCTGGGAATCGGGTAAGCCACAGGGCCAGTATGATGCTGGGCAACGAGCACAGCGTCAGGAATATGTTCCAAGATGAGTACCGGAAAATTCCGATGTCGTAATTGGCCGTCATCGGGATGATAGCCCAAGCGATCACTGCGAACAAACGTGGTTTCGAAAATTGTACAAATGACGGCACGGCTAGTGTATGGTATATTTATGTGACCATGAACGATATGCATAACAACGATCGGATGTACTTACGTGGCACCAATATGATGCCGACCGTCCAAAACATTTCCAACCAGGACAGCACTTTTTCTCGGTAGATCTTTGGCTGGAACTCACCCAAGTATGGGAAACAAATTCCCAGATATCCGGAAAGTCTACAAGACAGGACAAGTGTACAGGTCTGATACTATTATCGTAATCGCTTACTTATATAACTTATTTTAATTACATGCATATCAACCGTTAATACAATTTTATTCGTTATAAGCCGCGAGTTTTTTTAAATTAAATTTCATTTTTCAACTGATAAAAATGGTTTATTTTATGCATTCGTATATTTAAAAATGTTTAAAATCTTCAATACTTCACTTACCCACAAATTATAAATCACGATGGATATTACTAAATCTATTTTACTAGCAAAAAAAACTAGACATTTTATTTTAACGATGTGCTAAATTATGAGGAAAATATTTGATTAAAAAGGACATTATATTTATCTAGAATTTTTTTTTTTGTCTTTGGTCAAAACGTGATTGTAACTCGTGTATCAGATGTTCATGTGTCGGCCATTGTGTGACTCACCCGAAACCACTGAAGAAACGGCAGAACAAAAATGGCCAAAAGAAAGTAAGGACGCTGGATACCAAACTAAAAATACCGTCCATCAGCAGCGCCGCTATCAGAGTTTTCTTCCGTCCGTGCATATCAGCCAGGCATCCCCAAAAGTACGCTCCTAGGAGCATGCCTAAAACGTAGATAATTCCGTAGCGTGAGAAAGTGTTGTGGAATTATAATATAATTCTAATATAATAATAAATAAGTTATTATAATTATAATAACTTATTTATTTGGCTGTAGAACACATTTTCTCTCTCTCACTAAACAGTATTGTATATTTGTATAGATATAATAGGTTTATATAATTACCCAACAGCGGTATGGCGTTCAAGAGCCCTTTGTCCGTGGAACTCAGACTGAAGTCACATTGTGCCGATGGCAATACGAAAGATACGACGCTCACAGATATGGCACAGTTCAAGTAGATGAGACCGCATAGCGCCAACAAGAAATAGTGGAATTTGCCAAATTCTACACGGAAACCGTTCAATTATTGATTTCAATAATATTTTTAATATTTTCTTTAATTAAATATTATTTAACATGATACTCGTATACGAGGTAAATAATGTTTACCTGCGCACGTTATGGCGTGCTCGAAAATGGAACCATTGTCCAAGAAATCCAAACCTGTGAAACAAGTAAAACAAATTGACAAAATCAAATCTATGAGTAATGATATGATAATTGTAGGCTATGTACACCTAACGACTTAAATAATAAATAAAAATTGCAGATCAAGTAATTGAACGCAATTAATTTCGTATCAATAATAATATTGTAATAATACTTGCCAATAAGTTTTCGTTTAATGGAGTATGATTATTCGTCATTAAGTATTAATTAAAGGAGATCTAAATTTACCATGGTCAGTAAATAATTCCAATCACATATTGTATAGCTTTATTCATTTTCTAGGTCGTGTTGTTTCGACTTGAATGTAAATTTACAACTTTTCAAATTGATATTATATACAATTTTATTTTTACCAAAATACTTGAAGATTATTTATTTTATTTTATTTCACGCAAATAGGTTGTAATAAGAAATCGAGTAAGTTTAATCTTATAGGCAATATAAAAATATATTTTCTTTTTAGGTTTATTTTATTAAATACATGTTATTATCATTATAATGTTGTGTTTTTTGTGACGAATTCATAATGAATATCCCCATTAACATAAAGATTATAGGATTACTTATAACGTACTTAATCATAAGTTCGAACGATTGTCACAATTAAACAGTTTTATGAAATGTAGTTATAAATATTTTAAAATTAATATTAAAATCAATAAAAGATAAGTTGTTATTTGTTTGACAATGATTCATTAATACATTTTTATTATTACATTTTTAAAATACTGAAATGATAATACTCAAATCTATTCTATAGATTCAACAGTATAGAATACTCGAGTTTGATAGAAACAATAAATATTATAATATTTTATGGCTGCTGCAGATTAATTTATTACATAGGTAAACAAAAAAATTAAATAAGAATATTTGTAAGTCTCTCGAAAAGAAAACTGATGAATTTTGTTTTATAGAAAATGCAAAAAACAATTTAGTTTATGAACAATAATTAAATTGCTGCACGCTAACACATGTGCACTGTACTGTGGAATAATTATTACCTACTATATATTTTATCAACCACCATTCATTGGTTCACTATATAGATGATTGGTTTTCTTTTGGAATGTTTAACTGAGGAAGTGATTGGGTGAGAAATGCAGATGATCAGGTTTTTAGTAGCATTATTTTTGCAGTATTTTGCTATATATTAAATTAATTTAATTGTTTTATAATATCTTGGTAATATTTACAATTTATAGATAAAATTAAATATTAATCTAACGTTTTCTCTATGTTCACTAACATACATTTTAGCGACATACTGAAAATATTAGGTGTTGTGTAAAGAAAGTTAGTTTATTATCGATTTTTTCTGCAAAATTAGAAGATACTGTGGAATAGTAGATTATATTTGAAAACATTATATTAAATCAGTGTCTATATTTACTTGTAATGTAAATACTAATATAACCTAGGTATACATATACAAAAAGAAATTCAATAATATTATTATTTTTTTTTACATTTTTTTAAAGAAAAATCAAATGAACTATTTTATCATGAAACCCAAATTTTCTTGTTTGTTACATTTATTTTTTAAAATGTTCAAGTTATTATCTTCAATATAAATCGTTATACAAAAACATCGGTATCAAAATATAGGTTATCGAGATAGGTAATTTAAAGTTTAATACAAAAATGTTTACCGAAGCACTCAAGTGTATATCAACCTCAATATGTCAGTAACATTATCGAGGAAAAATAAGTTCTTTCTAACAATATATATGTCGAGGCCTTTATAGACGCTATGCGGTAACGACGGTATTGCGTAGTTTAGGCACAGTTGTTGATATTGAAGAACGAAAAAAAAATACAATTATACAATAATAGCGTTGATATACCTCGAGCTTTAATATTAGACAGAGAATAAATATAATAACTGATTTGAGTTTTGCAAGATCGCAAAAGCTTAGACTATGAACTTGTATTATATATTTTCGGAGTCGAGTATTAGGAGTTTCTTTGCTTTGGCGTAATATATTATTATAATTGCTTTTATTACATTTATATTTTTTACGGGTGAGTTACCTTTTATTAACAATATCAATGAAATTATTTTTTCTTTTAAAATACAAAACAGTTTAAACAGTGTTGGGAATTATTAATTCCATTTAGATTAATATCTGAGAACTAAGTGCAATGTGAATATATGACATGAAGTTACAATATTTATATTCTTATTTTTCTTATAAAGAACGAATTATCATAATATTCTCAAGTAAAAACGAGAAATTTAAAAAAAACCACCTACATAAGTACAATCTTTAATATTAATTAATTTTTTAATTGAAAACTGTGCTTTGTTTGTGAAATTAAATTAGGCAATTTTCTTGAATCCTTATATATTTTAAACTAAAAAACGATATCTAAATATGATTATTTCACAAAAAAATATTTAAAGATTTATTGAAAAAAATGTAATTAAGAACTCGACGATAAGCGAAAATACTAGTATATTAGAGTATCTATCTATACATTGTTCGCTTCGCCTTTGAAAATTCAAAACTCGCATATTACAATTATTGAAATTATTTTTAGTAAATTTTATGTTTGTACTAAGATCATATGGTCTTTGTATGTAGTTTCACTAGAACAAAATTTCTTTAAATTCCATTTTTCGACAGATAAATACACACAATTTTTCACAAAAGAAATATTTCATTTAAATTTTACTAGTGTTAAGATTAGAATGAAAATAAATCATGTGGACAAAAACCGGGTGTACAAATAACCTAAATTTGAATTTAAAAAAAATTAATATAATCCTATATGATAAATTACTCAAGTTTTTATAAACGTTAACGCTATACGTTTCTTCAGTATAATTTCAGTGACATTTTAAAATTAACTTTAGATAATGACTTTTTAAAAAAATGTGTATAATCTGGATAACTGTTGACATTTTAATATTTTCAACGAACACTAGTGACATTAACATTTTTGGCATATTTTTTCGTTTGTAGCTAATATCCATTTTTGATGTGATGTCGGGGTAGGTTTAGGTACATTTTGTGTTGTTAAACCAAATTGTGTGTTTGAAAACAAAATATTCAAAGAATATTAATTCGTTGACTTAAACGCACACATACACATTAGCATTTTCGTTTAAACAATAGGTCTTTAATAAATTTTTAGCACGTACGGTGCACACATTGTTTATCAAATCAAGTGGTATTTAGTATTTTGTTTACTTTTGAAATATTTATGAACTGAAATGTTGTAAATCTTGTATAAAGACCAAACACAAATTGTAAGTGTTAGTAAATTTTTTATTGTGCGTATTTTCATTTTATATTAAATCATGTAACAGGTGTATATGATGAATTTCTTTTGACGATATTAGTGTATATTCGTGCTAGTGTGGTGTTCAACGATCATAATCACGATAAACAATTCAGATGGTAAAAGTGTAATTGAATAAAAAAAAATTTAAATACTCTCAGTTTAATCATACTTGTGAGGTATAAAATGTTTATACGTTATCATACAATTCACGATAAGAATATAATGTATGCACAAACTTTTTTAAAACGAACTTATTTTAATTTTTAATTTCAGCACTCAAGATATTAGATATGCTCGAAGCACTCTATTAAAATATTCAGGGCCGACGAGAAGGTGAGGCGAGGAGGACTAGAGCCCCGAGACCCGTACCTCCGAAAGAGCCCGTTGTCTCAGCCTTTTATACAAAATTATTTTATAATCGCATTCGCCGTAGCACATAAGCTGCAAATTTGAATAATTTTATTTTACTAAATTATGTACAAGTAGTATGTATATCTTGGCCAATCAAGTGTAAGTAAAGGGGGCCTGAAACCGATAAACCCCGGGACCCTCAAAATGCTCGCGGGTCCTGGAGATTTTTACCCAGTTAATTAGCTATTTAGTATTGTACTTAATATTACAATTATTATTATAGTATTTTTACATTATTCACGAATACTTTAATTGGATTTCGATTTGTATAACAACTATAGTGTTCGTACAACTAGTATTTTTTGATTTTTTTTTTTTTACTTTTTTATGATTAAGAAATAAAAATGAAACTTCTCACCACTGCATATTATATGTAGCATTATTACACGATTTTTATTTCGTCACGTCGTGACAATATTATATCAGTGTAATATTATAACTGAAAACCGAAAAGAAAAGTTTATCATGAAAACGCGTTCGTAATTTTTACTCGTTGAGAATATCACGACAAAATACTTGTTACACTGTCAATGACATCCATGTACGACGTGCAGTGATAATAACATAGGTATATGATGCTATGATAATATTAAAACTAAACTCCATCGATGTGTACACGATAGATTATATATTTTCATATGTATCGCGTAAAAATATTACCCATCACGTCCCTGGTACTTCGTAAGTTTGTTGCACGAGTTTCCGCATAGATGGACTAATATTTGAAATCGACGTCGGATCGAAAAGTCAAAACGGAAAATCAAAAACCTAGAAAATCTCGCAGACACGGATTATGTAGATGTGATGGACGCGTTTCGAACTAACGTTCTTCCTCTCTTTCACTCTGTATCTCTTTGTCTCTCGCGCGCGACCGGGACGAAAAATTAACGCGGATCGATTTCGGTTTTCGTACACAATTATTGTTATTGATTATTATTGCGTTACACGTTTAGCAGCGGATTCGGTTGATTTTCAGATGCACACACACGCACGCACGCACTTTTAACGGTATTATAAAACTCCTGCGGTGGAGTGATGGAGAGATGTGTTGCGAATTTTTTTTTTTTCTTCGTGTCTAACGATTATCACGCACGCGGTAGGTACCTGAAAATGTTGCGGTGGACTGCCGTGGCGCACGCAAGTGAACGGTATAGTAGACCCGAGCCGAGATAAAAAAAAACAAAAAAAAAAAAACACCTTATTAGATAATGCGCGGCGATACGACAGCGGCGGCGACGACGATCGAACGGACGACGTTTATCGAGTGGCTCGCGCATACGTGTGTGCACACATACGTGCAGACACACACACATACATGTATATTTTTATACGATATTAGAATAATAACGATAATTCGTACGAGGAGAGGTGGGACATTCGCGAACAACCGCTGTCGGCGTTCACCGGTCACGATTGCGATACGTTCGAGGAGGAAACACCGAGAACGCGTACGGGTCGGAAGGAAGATGCTTTCGGACTTGATATCGGACACGCGCCGGAACCGGTGTGCTGAACAGGTGGGCGGGGAGGGGGTAGCGCGGCAAAGGTCGCAACGTGTGGTAGCTCACGCGTTTTCCGTGCGGACGAGTGACGTACGATCGACGGACGACACTAATCTTACCCCCGCGCGTTCTAGACATTTTTCCCGTCCGTTTTCCGGGCCGACGCTTCGAAAACATCTCCGACGGCCGAATCCCCCACCCCGTGCGGACCCCCGTTGGTATCACCGATGCGCGAAACGTTTTTGCAAGGTCCGCCGTTCGACACCGGTCGCCGCGATCAACAACGTTGGTCGTTTTCTGTACGCGACCGCGCGCGAGGACCTTCGCGAGGAACGCGCGTGAACGGTACCCGAGTCGCCGGGTCGTGATTCGATTAGCCGCCAGAAGACGCACGTCGCACGTCCGTCCGGTCAAAGTTTCAAAACCGATTTCAATGCCACCGTCGACGGCCGCGTTTAACGATCCGCCACCCCTGCGCTTTACGACGTCTGTTCAAAAATAAATTACGTTTCGAAAAATGCCCAACGAATTTTGTTACCGCAAAAGAAAATTTGTCGCCCCGCGTTCCCGTAAATCCAAACGTCGACTTTCATTACCGCGGTACACGGACACGGTTACGTTACGATATTATATAGTTTGCCATAATAACATAGTGGTGTATTTGACAAACCCTCCCTCATCAATTGATATGTTTGTGTGGGCGTTTGCTTTATATTAACTAAGATAAAATTACAACAAAAAAAAAAAAAAACTTAGAATTTATGGTTTAGCAGGATTACCTATTATTGATTACAATTTTAAAAAAATATTGTTTTTTTAGTACCTAATGTATGTTGTATAGTTATTGTGTGTACCTAAGACCTTAACATTTTTTGGAAGTTTTTTAAAATTATATTATGAATATACAGGTATAAAAAATATATGCCTATATTAGGTGCAATAACATGTTGTTTTAACTCAGAGCATATGTAGGATTATATTTTGGGGACTGGGGTAAAAGATATATAGCCTCCGCCTTTTATGAGTAGGCTTTTATTAACCCCTTTCCTCCATTAGAGTTAAATCAGATACGCCACTGTAATAGCAGTGCACCGTGTAATAATATCTTGTGTTGACGTGGCTTCGACTTAACCGTAGGTTAACTCGCACCGTTTCCCCTCGTGTTGTACGTTGTATTTGTTATTTTATTATTTTTATTGTGGCCCTGTGGCGTCGCAGTACTTTACATAGATTAAACCGATTAGAGTCACCTTTTCTCGTAGATTTGCGGGTATGGAACGCACTTGAAACGGTGTACAAACAACTCGTGTTTGAGTGCCGATTAATCGACGTGAAGCGATTCAAACATATTTCATAAAAGTATTTATAATATAGGTGGATGTATGAGCGACGAGCGTTTTCAATGACGTCGACGTTGATTATATCTCCGGCTTATAAAATGTTTCTGATCGTTTTCGGTTTGCTTATTGGCACCGAGTAATTATTATTTCATTAATATAATCATTAAATGATTTATTTATATATTTATTTTCATTGCTATATTAATATAGTCAACACACGAACTAATACATATTTATCATAATTTAAAACATTGTTCGTAATTACAACTATATACACTTATGAAGCATAACGACCTCGTGTGCTGCACTCGTTACACGCAAACCACTGGGATCGAAAAATAATCAGTGTTTATTACTCACATTTTGCTTCCAAGTTCTACACGAAACTTGTACCATTAAAGAGAGACAAAAAAAAATGGACATTAATGCAAAATTAATACGTTCTTCGCGCGCTCGCATAGAATCTAAAATAAAGTCAAATAACTAAACAAATACTTTGGGCAGTACCCATTATGAATATAAATTATTCAAAATTCTTATTTTATTATTAACATTTGATAAAACAATTTAATATTTGCGCCATCACTTTTGTTATAGCCAATTTCGATCAGACATTAATTTGACATCCTGTCTTGGTGTTTTTTATAAATATATTTGAATTTACTATAATTTAAGTATGTACCAATAGATGTATTGTACGATCGCACGTGATTGAAATTCATAGGTGTACCTTGCTATCTGGACATCTGAACATAATCTACCTTATGACCCAACTGATGTACAGTATTTATATTTTTAATTACAAAATCACAAATTCTTTTAATGATATGTAATTAAAAGCTTTGACAATTATTTAATGTTTTAGTTTACGTACAAGTTTTTAGTCTTGTTATTTTCACGAATCCAAATAATCACAAAACAAAAGTACATGACGTAACTTATAGTTTATAACATAAAATGCACTTCTTATTTTATACGAAAAAATACGATATATTTTTTAAAAGTCAACGAAATACTGAATTCAAGTGCAAGGTTATATGTTTTATACATATTTATTTGAGAACAATGAAACAACGTTGCAATCTAAAAACGACTGAATAAATACTCTAGGTTAATTATGTAATAAAATAGTTTTGGTTACAATTTGCATCACGATTTTATCGTAATTAAATCATTTAATAATTAATAATAAACAATAGGAACCTAATTACACTAGCCAACATTTGTAGCCTTAAAACAGTAGTCGTATAATCAATCGGAAATGTGCGCGCGCGGACATCAATATAGTAATCGGGCGCATGCACAATTATAAAGAATTATTATAGACGGGAAAAAACGAGTACTGTTGATACATGCTGCAAATTCAATTGACGTAACAATCAAAAAACTAATAGATATTAATGTCGATAACAAAGGCATTGACAATTTTATTAGAATACTGAAATATTTATGGAATCGATCCAGAATATACACTATCAATAGAAAAAAATTAATTAAAAGTGGTTAGAATAAAAATTCAAAAACGGTGTGGGTAGTTTTTATTATAACCACATTTTTCACCGAGTAGAATTTAAATTATATAATTTTTAGACATTTTTTTGTAATTAAATCAATAACTATCAAAAAGTATTGTTGAACTTTATTAAATTATTATTACAATTGTCATTATTTATTGTATACCTTTATTATTTTTACAAATGAAATTCTTTCAATTAATCTTCTAAAAAATATATTTTAGCAGTGTTGCTGAAGCACTGTTAGTATTTTTTGGTCTTTAAAAAAAAAAAAAATACCCAGTTTTTCTGTAATAAAGAACACTATTTCTCTAAAATGTATTGTCACTAAATAAATACAACTTAAGAAGAACCGTGCAACTGTCTTTAGGCGACAGTCTCACTTTAGTCTCTAGGATGATAAGACTTCATCAGACTTACTTATGCAGTAAACGATGAAAGAATATCGCAATCTTATAAGCAAAAAAGTGTGAACTTCTAACTTTTCTTGACACCGCAAGTTGGTGTAACAAGCTTTTTGTTATTAACACGCACTCGTGTTTAGAGGTTACTATATTGAGAACTAAATAAATCATATTGCACGTATTGTACGAGTAAAAATCATATTGTACAATTAAAATTGTAATCGTCGAGTTTAATTTTCCGTTTACTAAATATCTAACCAGACAATTAAGTAGATTAGTAGTATACTTAGTCATAAAACTGTTATCATAATACTTTTAAATGTAATGCGAAGTTAATAGGATGTTACTTTAATCCTTATTTAAATATTATATAAATAATTAATTGTTACTTCCAATACAACTTTCATGTAATTTTTGTGTTTAAGCTTTGAAAATAGACTAGTCCTTTGGCTATAATTTCGCCAATATCTACCGTCGACTTATTTGATTTTCATGCAATTTAAACTATAATAAAGACATAGTTGAGTTCTAATTGTGAATAAAATAATGATATTATGTTTAATTTTGTGAAACTACTACAAGTTCATTTTTAAAAATGTACGAATTATTCATTTACTTGTACTGTGTACACGAAACTGTTCAGTGGGACCCATTATCTTTTCGGAGGAATAAATGACAATAACAATAACATGTGTGAACCAATGTCTAATAAAAAAAATTATTCAAATATTATATTTAAAAATCATTGAATACGACTACACGCGAAATATCATAAAATAATAGTACAATCAGTGGCGAACTTAGAGATAAAGACGGCCCGGGAAAATCATAATTTTAGAGACCCTCAGTATAATAATGGTCCTATGTATAATCAGTGTTGGGTAAATTACTTTTAAAAAGTTATGAAATTACGTTACTCGTTACTTCAAATATTTTTATTCAAATTACATTTCCGTTACCTAAAATTATTTTTATCACATAACATTACTTTTTCATTAATAAAGTAATAAGTTACAAATAACATTAATTTTTTTTTTATCTCTGATAATAGTTATCATTTTTTTTTTTTTAATCATATTCAATTCATATGATATATTTTACAATCATAGACCTAGTGATAATAGACCTATTATGTACACAATTTAAGATAATATGTAAATGTATAATCATCTCATCTATCAATTATAACATGAATATAGTAAAGTACCTAGTACAATTGTTTACATTTAAACTCAAACTACACATGTCTACAACAATAAAGCAAGTTATTTTCTAATTAACCACAAAATAAGTGAAACTAAATGATACAGAGTAAGTTCTCACTATCCGTAGAACTTCAAAATATTTATTATATGTTGGTCATGGTTAGAGAAAGTTATTTAAGTTCAGTGATATTTGATACACTTGCTGATACTTCAGTCTCAATCATTTTACTCATTGTTTTAATTTAGAATTAATATAATTAAACTCAAACTAATATATTATTATAACTATTCACTAAACACTAGAATATAATTAATTGGAATTATGTACAATCTGTGGATTATGTAATATCTTTGGAATTATATACAATCTATAGATTTTTTTAATATCTTTGAAATTATATACAATCTATGGAATTATATAATATCTATGGAATTTTTTAATACCTTTGGAATTATATACAATCTATGGATTATATAATATCTTTAGAAATATATACAATCTATGGAATTATATATAATATATGGAATTATATACAATCTATAGAATTATATAATATCTTTGGAATTATATACAATCTATGGATTATAGATTATTAATATTATCTATGATTATTATTTGGGTCGTGCGAGGTCCCATGGCAATTCGGCTTAAACTTAAGGTTGTTACATGCAGGTAGTTAATTTTTATATTACAAAATCAGTCCTGAACGCTTAGAACTTAAGGTAATGGTAATACTTATGGGCTGTGGTATTCGTATTAATATAATATGTCATAATATTAGTATTATATTTATACTATTTAGTAAATAGTATTAATTGTAAGTGGTGACTTCAATCTAATAAGGTATATAGCCATATAGGTATATATGTATATAGGTAGATAGCTGATTTACTCATAAGTAATTAATTTTTAAACATTAATTCCTGAAATGTCTAATAATATTGTTAACTATTATCGAAATTAAAAATAAATAAAATTAATTTTTAAAGTTTCTAGAATATGTTATGTTTGTTTTTGTAATACATTCAAAACTATTATTTTAATAAATAACATGTAAAATAATGCGTTAGTGCGTTACAACATAGAAATTACTCTTTAAAAATAATTGCTTTACAATTGCGTTACTTTAAGTAAAATTTAATGAAATTACTATTGCGTTACAGTAATTTGTAATTTGCGTTCTGTTACTACCTAAAACTGTATATAATATATTATATATATATTTTTTTTTTGTAAAACCCATTTAGCTCTTAAATTTATAAATATTATAATTAATTGATGAAAAACAAATTAAAATAACTATTATAAATTTGTTAGTTAGAGTATATTTCAAGTAATTATTATGTATGTAATTTAAACTACAATCAATTTGATTTTAATAAGAAAGTTTATTATTTAATAAATCACTTTTAGTTTTAACATATTAATAATATTGTCATTATCAATGCTATATAAAACATTTTTTCCACTGTCATCATTAATAATATTAATAAGTATATATTTTATACGAGCAGCGGCCCACCGGGAATTTTCCAGGTATGCCGGTTGTCCAGTCCGCCATTATGTACAATACAATAATAATTTTGTTTTAATATTTTTATCCTTTGTTTTTATGTTTAAACACAAACCAGCATTTTCATACTTTTAATTTCCTTGTCTCATAAATGTTGTCATGACTATTCGTGTACACGTACCACACTATATTTTTTCGTGTACCGGGCAGGCTCGTTGGATGTGTGAAGTGTGTTCACGCGTGATCAAGCTTGTCTAAGTTTTTACTATCTCCACGCGGAAGTGCCAAAGCTAGGAAACTGCTCACTAACATGGAGGAATATGAAAAACCAAGAAGTTATGTAAATATTAATTATTCTATTTACCAGGTAAATGTTTAAGATTTATCACTTTACGCCTCTCTTTTCGTGTTGGTAGGATAGGCTAGGTTAGGTTTTTGCCCACTTAAATGTTTTCAAAGTCCTTTAAATTTTTTGAGTATGGCTTAAACTCTGTTAAAGTGTTCTACATCACCGTTTACTTCTCTATTATTATCTGTATTAAAAATTGTTTTAGCCCTCGTCTGAAATGTGATTCAATAGCCGCCCACGAGTGTAATATAACTCGTCGTATGAAGAGAGGCGCTGTATACGTTTGGCTTAATTTGATGTTTTATACTTACATAATAATAGTGAGCTGAATATGATGATGAGCAAGAAGCAATGTGAGTCTATGAGTAGTCCGAATATAATGTTGGCAAACAACGATCCGAGACGGCCTACCGTCGTCGATGCCGCAGCCGCCATCACTCTGCGTCAAGATAAACAAAATGTATTAATGTTTAAAATATGTTTTTTTGTTTTGCCAGTCACGTAGTTTTAGGTTAATGTGTATTAGGCCATTTATGTACACGTAAAGGTGTGTATCACGAGATTCCAAAACATAAGTTCCAAAATCACAAATTTTTCAGGAAACAGGCCAGGTTAAACAGAGAACAAGAATCATGATTTATTTGACAAGTGATTGACACAGGATACTAAATATTTGTAATTGCAATGATTGCTATTAATTACTAGGTCTCGGAAGTTTTTGCATTTACAGTTATTTTTCTATTATTTAGATTTATTGCTAAATAGGTTATAAATTCGTTCTGTGCAAGTCCGAATTAAAATCTAAATATTTTTAGTGCAAATGAATGCAATTTTATTAATTCTTCTCATTTATAATATAATTTTAGAGAATTTTAGGTATTATTCACAGGATTGAATTTCTTTTTACGCGAAAAATAAAAATAACTACGAGGATCGTATCAGATATTTTAGAATAATATAATTTTTTTTCTTAAACAGAAGGTTGGTTTACAACTCCAATTTTTATAAAAAAAATATAAAAAATATATAAATATATAATATAGAATAATATAATAAAAGTAATAATTGATAATTTATGGTTATTACAGGCTTTGTCGATTGTGTAAGCAGTGGGGGAAATATTATTTTTTAAGACGATGCATGAGTTGCAAAACTAGCTATCCATAAATCGGAGATCTTTCGAGTTTGAGAACTTACAGAAAGCATATATTGTGCACCGCAATCATTTTTATGTAAATATTAAAAATAACATAAAAATTGTTCAAATAAAACGTTTACAAATGTTCATTATTTTGTCTGTAGTCTCTTGGAAGATCAGACTAAAACCACTATTCCATCATTAATATGAATTTTTATTTTGAAATATTTAGTAAAATAACTCATACTTGTAATATGATAGTTTTAACAAAATACCTGTACAATTTTCTTCTTTTTTTTTTTAATTGTTATTTTAGGAAATTCAAAAGTGTAATGAAATTTTAAGTGCGATTTTGAATATTTTTAACTGTAAAAATGCAACCAATTTTAATGCTTTTTAGTGCAATAATTTCCTAATCTATTAATCACTGATAAATATTTGAAGAAGGTTGAAGGGGTTCTGAACACACGCATCAATCCAACGTAACAAAAACGTCTTGTTGTGGAATCATATAATATCTGATTATAGAATACGTTTTTATGCCAAAACGATCTGAGTCTTACCTTATGTTGGTCGGAAACAGATCGACTCCGATGCACAATAATGCATTAATCCCTAGGCCACAGAATGCTTCATAGATGCACGACAGTATGAGGTTCTGCAAAGAATTCTTTACGAAGTACAACGCAGCGGCCGCGACGCTGGACATCAACAGACTCATTACTGTAACAGATGAATAAAAAATATTTGTTATTAAGACTCGTTACTATTCGAAGACGATTATTTGTAGGTAAACAATGATGTTGCCCATCTGAAAGTTGCAAATAGTTTGATCTGTCGTGCGTCCAGTAGTATGTACGATAAGTATAACATATTCACGTTACCGTGAAACTAAGGATGCAGCGAACATTTTTTTTGATTATCAAACGTCACTTAAAGTATATTTGATATCCGTTTGGAAAAATTAAAATGCTTGTTCAGTACTCACAGTAAAATATAAATGTTGAATAAACATTTCATATAAGTGGATCTATATTTATATGTGATTGAGTACTTAAGTAAATAGTACTTTTTATTGAATATAAATTGTGTATAGTACATAGTAATTTATTAATAGCTGTTTCGTCAATAAAATTTTTTTTTTCTAAATCAAATTAAAAATCAATTAATCCAATTTTATCAACATCTATTTAACTTAAATAGTCTTGAAGGCTTTCCGTCACACGTACGCGCACACAAGTTCTATGTATTTTGATACATAAGATAAACCCGATCAGCCCATGGTAAGTTTTAAACTGAAATGTTACCTAAGAAAAACTTGGCTCCAAGTCGGTGCACACACAGAGGCATCAACAACGACGAAGGAATGCACGCTATACCGATCCATAGGGTGTGCGTGTACACGGATTCTCCTATAGCCGACCCACACAAATCGGTCGTGTTTAACGCACCGCCCTGTTCGATGTACACGGATGACACTTGACACATGGACGCGTTCATGTCCGGATGTTCGGTTTCGAATTTCTCGAATCTGTTGAACAACTCCGGCAACCACATCGCCAATGCGTAGTAACTGCATTGAAGACAAATAACACTATATTTTCGTTTTATACTTCATAGATGAAACGTACAACGGTGTTTGTGTGACGAACGCTTTTCCGTATGTAATAGGCAATGTTGGGAATATATAACTAATAATTTATCTAGATATAGATAAAGATAGTTATACTAAATTTTATCTAGATAAAGATAAATATAGCTAAGTAGAAATTTATCTAGGTAAGATAAAAGATAAATTGATCTAGATATTTCCCAATACAGCTAATAGATAATTCATTTTCACTCGAATTATCTCATTGGTAAGCTTATATGAGTGCCCCTAAGTGCATATACTCAAATATTGCCTCCCATATAATGCTCATCGTCTACAGAGTCTACTATGGGGGTAAATAAGAAAACGATTTTAAACCCAAGCTATCAGTTTGAAGCCCATAATCATTGTGATTAATATCGCATCCACGCGCAAACAAACCACGTAGCGTATACGCGGCTTTTAAGTTTTGTCGAAGTAATATACATTCACAACCGCCAATCACACATTATAAGTAATACATTTTTAATAAATATGAAATATTAAACTGAAATTATAGCAAGGTAATGTTTCCTGATTATCTATTTATGATTATTGGAACCTTGTGGTTAAGGAGTTTTTATTTGTTTTAATAAAATGCATTTGAAAATTCGACACATTAAACACAATTTATATCGATTATTGGTTTAGATTTATCTAACCTAATGCCAGAGGCGATTCGAATAAAAAGTAAATTTTAAATCGTAAGGTGAATTAAGTTAACTTTATTAAAAAAAAAAAAATGTACGGGATATGATTCGAGGGCACCCGCAAGGAAAAATATCATCATAGAACAAGAACTAAATATATACACATATATTATTTTATTGGTATAAGCAGGATTGGGCTGGCAGGGCGAGTAGATGTCCATACATACCCAGGCCCTCCAAAAATTATAAGTTTGGACCTCAAGTTATATTTGGAACGTCAAGAAATATTGGTTATAGTAAGTTATACTTGTCGATCAATCAACTGAAGATGACTTGGTCCATATTGCTATCGACCGTACGCAGTTACCTTGATGTCAGTCCGAACTGTATGAGACACGTGAGTACCGTGTTTCTCAAGTGCGGTGGTTTGAACAGCTCTTTGGTCTGACACCACATCTTGGTCGCCAAATCCTTTAGATCCATGGATATTTTGGTCTTCGATTGGTTAAGCGACATTTCTGATAGTTCACCGATACCGGTGTACATGGTTCCGTTGTTGACGAGGCTTTTTAACTGGAAATACACGCGGAAAACGTAACATAAAAATAATTAATACATTTTTAATTAAATAATTATAAATTAATAATTATTTAATAGTTAAATATAACGATCGGCGTACAGGATACTCGTGTCCGGGTTTTCCCGTGTTCAGCGTGTAGATGTGCCTCAAACAATCGAGAGCCTCATCAAAATCACCGTGCTCCATTAGGAATTTCGGGCTTTCCGGGAACCGGGTAAGCCACAGGGGCAACAGGAAGCTCGGCAACGAGCACAGCGTCAGAAACATGTTCCAAGATGAGTACCGGAAAGCGCCGAAAGCGAAGTCGGCCGACAACGGGATGATGCCCCACGCGACCACTGCGAACACGATACAGGTCGGGTCAGGCGCAATCGTACGAAGCGCACGGTGTCTTGTATTTTTTTTTTTTTTTTTGACGTTCACTACTATTCGTGGTATACTCACGTGGCGCTAATATGATGCCCGCGGTCCAAAACATTTCCAAACAGGACAGCACTTTTCCTCGGTAGATCTTCGGTAGAAATTCGCCCAAGTACGAGTAACAAATGCCCAAATATCCGGAAATTCTGGGGAAAAAAATAAAAATAGAAAACTGCATTTCGATCCACTTGGCATGACGTGATTTTCGAACCATTCGTGCGACAACGGTTTGTGTTTAAAATGCCATGATTGAACTCACCCGAAACCGCTAAAGAAGCGACAGATCAAAAACGGCCAGTAGAAAGTGAGAAAACTGGAGGCGATACTGAACAGTCCGTCCATTAGCAATGACTCAATTAGAGTTATTTTTCTACCATTCACATCTGCCAGGCTTCCCCAAAAGTAAGCTCCAAAGAGCATGCCTGGATCGTGACATTCGGACATTTGATTAAATTCGTTGAATAGTCTACGGAAAAATAACTACGAGTATACCTACCCACTGACGGTATGGCGTTTAACAGTCCTTTGTACGACGAGCTCATGCTGAAGTCGCATTGAGCAGATGGCAGTATGAAAGATAAAACTCCCACTGATGTGGAACCGTTCATAATTATGAGACCGCATAGAGCCAACAAGGAAAAGTGGAATTTTCCGAATCCTATACACAAAAGCGCATCAATCGTTACAATAATTTTGCATGCTACTAAAAGGGTAAGTAATGCATATACCTGCGCATGTTATGGCGTGCTCAAGAACCGAATTGTTGTCCAAGAAATCCAAACCTGTATTAAGATTAAACGAATTTGAAATTAACCTTTAAATATTTTAGACTGAATAACAAATTTATATACCAGTGATATAGCATACATAATAACATTTGTGTAAAATGTAAAAAATAAAGGAAACTCGTGTAAGTGTCTCTAGATTGTTATGTTAAATGTGTTTTTTATAATTCAAAAATTTATATATCTTTGATTAGTACAGAAATAAAAATATAATATTTTTTCAAATATTAAATAAAGCAAAATATGTAAATGTGTATTCATCTGTATCTATTTATTTATTTGTATATATGTCGTAGCTATACTTAGTGAGGTTGAACATTCCACAGAAATTGAAACAATTTTTATACCTCGTATTTCACAATGTGGTCATTCACTTCGTGTAGAGTACAAGTACGACTTTTATTAGAAACTATTAATTAAAACAATTATATAAATGTTTTATACAATTATCTGTCTATCTGAAATATGAAGATTTAATTTGTCTTAATATAACGTTATATCAGTATCTTGGTGATAATTTGATAATCGATATTCAAATGTATAGTTACTATATGAATCAAATTCCATTATATATTCACTTTAAACGAAATGGTTCTTTACCATTTTAATGCTTAAAATGCATTTTTATAAAAATTAAAAATTATTGTTCGAATAAAACTGGTGCAAAAATTGACTGTATACCGTTTTTTTATTACAAAGTTTCTTTGAAACAAAGTCATTTTTAATAGAAAGGCTAAGGAAATATGTAATTATAATGTTACATAATAAATTTTGCAATAAATATGCCTGAGAAATAAGTATTTGATTCATAAAATAATAGAAATTTCAGAAGACATAAAGTAGCTCAAAAATAAATTTTAGGTATCATTGTATTCGTTGTGGGTTATGAGATTATACATAAATTGTTAACTCTTAATTTCATTCTCTGTAATTAAATAATATTGAATTTTATAATACACTAATAAAACTACCGATAAGCTTCATCTATAGTCGTATATCATATAATTAGCTTCCTGGAAAATCACTTTTAACAACCATTGATTTAATTATTGATAGCTGCTCTGATGATCCTTCGAAAACTCAATGTATCCATAATTATACTTAGTACCCATCATAGTTCTAAGACAGTGATAAACAATGATTTTTAGTATATTATTTATTTAAAACTAAAATTTACTACTTAAAACATATACATAGAATATCGTTAAAAAAATAACGGTATATTTCATTGAACAATAGAGGAATGTATTTACATTTTGTGAATACTTGATACACATATTAGCACTATATAGGTTTAAGACAGATTTTACGAAGTGGCTTCTTTATGAATTTAACACCGACTTATAATTATAAAAAACCTATACTATTGTTTTTGTTGAATTTATATTATTATACAATTTTTATTTATTTATTTTTTTTAATTTGCCTTTGTTCGAATTTTTATTTTTATACTAATGTTTTAATACTATAATTATTTGTCATTTTTAAGTATATATATAATGATTTTTTACTATCGTTTAATTTTTTGTCTCATTAGACAGTAGACACATATTTTTCTTAATATTATATAACTAATAATTTTGAAACACCATACAAATATGTAACTAATAATTATATTCATGTACACATAATAACTCCTGGGCCTCCATACGAGAATACTCAGTGGGCCCAGTATTATTTTCTTGAGAAATAAATTAATAATAATAATAATAATAATACTAGCTATGCACTTTTACAGAAAGTTTAGCTATTTTCTTTGGCATATACTCAACAAATCTTTCCTAATTTTTTTCAAGACTAAGATTTTTTTCAAGCCATTACTGTTTCTGTTTAAAATGTATTTGAATTAAACAAACATCAACACTGTAATCTGAGTTCTTTTATGAATTTTTTAAAAAATCCTCCCCAATATTCTCAATACTCAATTTTTCCATTGATCCAACAATTTTTAAACAAAATACTTACCTACCAAAAACGAGATTACTACTTTTTTGTTTTAATACTAACGAAAATTAACACTTACTTGGTACTGTACGGTGATCCATTTTTGATGTAATAAAACTACAATCCTATTGATGCACAAAAGATGAAGAGAAACTAATAAGTATGGTACGCATGCAAAGCATTACAGTGATAATTCATTCAATTTAATAACTCTTCCCTACTACTATTTTATTATTGGTTATGACTGAAAGTTTGATTCCTATCAGTTACTATTAATAAACGTTTATTTACAAAGATAGGAATAAAAAATCTTAAATCTATGTTGTAATATTTTTATACTTGATGTGGATAAAAATACAGTGACATAAGTTTATCAAATCATTAGTTTTTATCTTTAATTTCTATAGTTATATCGCAATGCTCAATCAACCGTATTTAACAGAAAATCGCGTATCGAAATTAGGAATGTTTTATAGTCTACCTTTAAATGGCACTTTTATCAATTTCGATAAATTAAAGTTCAGCGCCGTGAACAGTAAATGTCTTCAGCTCTTCTAAGTTAGACATTAAATTAATCACCAAACAAATAAAAATTAAACGACACGCACAAATATGAGTATTTGTTCGTATAATTCGTATTTTTTCACTTGGAAAAGTTACATGGTGTCGTTCACGTATATCTAATTCTTACTATTTATTATGTGCGAAGTGCTCATTGGGTTTCAACGATATTTTCAGGTTGTTGTAGATACGTTTATCTAATTATGTTAGGAAAAGTTCATTGTGATGTATTATCTTTTAGATTTTTTTAACAAATATATGTATTATAAGAATTAATTTTGAATAATTTTTTATATTAAAATAAATTACCTTTATGTAAAATTACAAATATCTCAGAGTATTCCTTCTTTTATTTTTCATATTCAGTCACTATTTTATATACTTTTTAACCTGACGATCGAACAAAGGCAAATAAAAAAAAAAATAAAATACCTGACGATGAATCTTTAATTCAAAACTAGTCGTACTTTACAAATATATTAATACTCCTGACTAAGCATTTATTTATTTATTTATTTTATTTATAACATATTTGTTTATTTATTGATAAATTAAATAATATAAATATAATACGATTTTAATAACGTTCTGTAACCATTACAGAATTTTTTTATTTTTAATTTTCTTTTCGTTTATGCGTTTTAAAAATCAATATATTATTAATTTGTTTAAAATTATTTTAAAACTCAAATTTTTGTGGATCCAATTTAATGTTGTTAAATGAAAAATATTAAAATTAAATTTTTTTTTCTGATTATTTGTTATGATTTATTATACTTCAACCATTATCGTTATATATTGGTTCATAATGCACACAGATTGTTGAAACATAAATTAATGAAACAAGTTTAATGTTTTTACAAAATGAATGAAGATTATAAAAAGAAATAGAAACATGAATTATGCGCTGTACAATAATAAAAAGAACAATAACCAATAACTGTTTAAATACAAGGTCACGTAGATGGATCATTTTTCATTATTAATTTAATACAATTGACAATTTTTATAAATGATTAACTTGTCGCTATAAGTTAGTTACATTCTAGTATACACTAGACATATATCTGAAGAACAAAACAATTATGAGAAAATATTTTTCTTTGTTAAAGTAGTTAAGACAGTAGTAGACAGTTGGGGCAATAAGTTTCATTTAATTTCCATGTCGCAGTTGAGCATGGCCAAATACATATAATATATTAAATGTTCGTCTGAGATTAAAAATTGGAATCATGGGAATCCCAAAGCTTTAGTATCACAACACGATGTTATGGAACATACAAATACCGATTTCTGCAATTGGATAAATATAGTATGATATATGTTTTATTGCAATTATGCTTTTTTTTTTTTAATTTCATCCGTAAGCGTTTACGAGACTATGTTTCGATGAGAAGATATGTATACGTTTATTATTTGACAATATAAACTAAATACACAATTGACAGTCAACAATAGTTATATATTCAACATCAATTTTTACCTATTTGAACCTATCCTTAAACGAGAATTCTAAACATTTTTTAAAACATTTCATGCTTAAAATACTTGAATGTTTATCGCTAAAAAATGATAATTCATTGTTCTTTGTTTTTAGTAAAATAGAGAATCTAGTTTTTCGAAATTAAATATTCGACAGTTCTGGTGCGCATATCTACAAAAGTACCAATTATACTTCGGGTGTTTCGAGTTACTTTTGTATGTATTTCTGCAGTTGAGATGCGTATCCTCAAGATCTCCCGCAAGTATTTAATATTCTATACCTCGTCGATTCATGGTGGGTCTACGTAGAAACGGATCCCAGACCACCAGACCGCCTAGTATTGACGTGACCTGATGACCAAACGACGATTAAGCCTGCGTACATGCCTATTACGTGCACTAATTTCGTAGTTTACTCGTCAGACAACCAACATTTTATAATACACGTATTGTTACTCGGCAGTTTCCGTGTTCGAACCCGATCATTACGGTTTTGTCGTAAAACGGTCCCGGCAGAAAAACGAACGATATCCGGGAAAACTTACCGAATTATTATAATACGTGTTTTCGCCGACGTACCTAACTGTTTAACTGTTTGTAACTCAATTCATAGGCGATTTTTCGATATTAAATTGGGATCGCGAATACACCGACGAATGTGAATCCGGTATACAAAAGTTCCAATCGATATGCAACCGAAATCTACACAATGTCGGAATACCAACACAATATGACATTAGATTTAATTCCGATACAATTATACAATCATAGATTTCATTTTTATTAAAAATAATGTTCTTCAAAACATAATTTTTTTATGATACGGTAACATTTGCACGAAAGCAGTTCATAATAGTGAAATAGTGCAGTGAAAATGTTATTTTTTTATTTTATGATAAAATATTATTATTTGTACTGGTATTTTTCGAGTTTTTGAAGATTTTCTTTTCGTTGCACGTTCTGTCATTATAACTTCCTTTGACACGGCTAAGGCGTACATATATTATATTCATACATTTTCTGTAGCAGTTTCCTACCCATATATAAATCAACATTTCTCAGTTGATAAAAAATTTTTTCCGTAATAATAATCTTTGTGCGATATAATAAATAATAATGGAGGGTTGGTAACCGGTATTATTAAAAATATTCCATACAATCACATACTTGGAAATTAGAAATTGCGCATAACTCATTTATCGATCTCAAACGAATGTTTATTTATAAAAGTAATTAATTTATATTTTTATTTGTTAACTTCCTGCTTCCGGTTCTTTTAATTTTTCTATGATTATATTAAGTACACATAGCCGTAGCAAGGTTCATGAGCGTCCCTGGATATTTCTTGTATTTCCGCTTTTGTATATTTATACCCCGACCCCGTCCCCACATATACACACACATACATACAGACAATTTTTATACATAGATATCTAAATTTATTTATTTTATTTATTAATAAATACACACAATGAAGATGATATTTAATAGAATAAAAAGCATTTGTGACCTTATAACCTTATATTAAATTAATAAAAACTAGAATATTCATACATTTTCAAAATATTTTTTGAACTTGCTTTGTGACGATTTCATTAATCATATATTCAAAATTGATTTTTGAAGCCAGTTGACGCTCAATAAATAATATTCTCGTATTTGTTAATTGTCTTTGAGTAATCGTAAACGATTTTTAATAATTTCAAATTTACTAAAACTACTTTTGCATGTTGTAGTCGTCGGCGGTGGAGCTAATATTAAGATAAACATATTTTAAAGAATAATCATGAATATATTTTAGTAGCTAATTAAGATAATTTAAAATTATTCTTCAAGTTATTAGTTAGGTGTCTAAAACATTTTAATTCTGAATAAAAATTAGTTTCATTATGATCTTCTGAGAATTTCATAACTAAGTCGTTAGACAATTTACATGCATCTTCTGATTGAATATTAAATACTATATTTCCAGTTAAAAATCCCTAATGTGATACTACTATTTTCATCTGTTCATATTTCCAATTAAGATAAGAAAACATAGGGTCAATGAATAAATAAAATTTTTTAAAAAAAGGATCATAATATGAAAGAAGACATTACAACACAGTATTATGTTATTAGTTATTTGGTGTTACTGTTATTAGCAAATAAAGAAAACTTTTTTTTAAATAAAATTTATAAAAACTCTAAAACATTTTTAAAACTAGGTTGTCCGGCACCTTTGGAAAATTGTTGGGGCAGCCCGGACACCCTAGGGTGCCACCGTAGACACGCCTATATTACACTTACACAATACTTATTCTTAGAATAAACATTACAGTTATTCTTTATTTATATGTAACTGAAAGTCTTTTTATTCTATTCATATTTTTCCAAAAAAGCAGAGAAAATACATAGAAATAATGTAAATAAAGACCTACGTGCCATAGAAATAAAAATAATTCTACTTGACTGCGTTAAAAGCTATTTATGAGATTGAAAGTCGATTTCGCACTTTGTTAAACTTTCACGTTTTTTTACATCTATGGTTTTAAAAAAACTTTTTTCAACTTTTATATAGGTTCGTTCAACCGTTTGGCGATTTAATTATTAATTTGATCATGTAATTACGTAAAAATAATTCCTAAATTAAATTTCGAAAATCTATATCTTAAAAACTTATGAGAACTCCAGCCTCAAGGTAAGATTTTTGCTCGGGACTTTTCATAGGTTTAATCATGTAAATAAGTTTTAAAATGCATTGAATGTCTTGAAAGTTCTAGGTATAGATATCTATATAAACTTATATAAACTATATATAACTAACTTTAGATGAGCTTTAAACATCTCTAGAAAGGCTAGTCGAATTACAAGAAATGTTCATTTTTTGTTACAATACTCAATAATAATAATAATATATATATACGTATTACTTAAATTTGTAAGTTTTCTATTTCCTAACTTTGAAAGTTACTATTTGTTCTGATAAAATGGTCTGGATAACTTTACAGAATACGACATATATACCAAGTTATACTTGAATAGGTCAAACAATGGGTTAGTTTAACGTAAATAAAAAAAAATTGCACAAGAATTTTCTCTTGCGTTGAGACAAATATATATCAATTGTGAACTTAAATTA